TGGATAACAGACATCTCTTCAAATAAGTTCTTACTTACCTGACATTGTGCATGGTTAGCTGTTCCACTTTGATGTTAGAGGTAGCTCCAGTTTCCTCTCAGAACAGTTATGGTGGCTGAACCCAGCGTTCAGAGAAGACCAGGGAGAGACACTCACGCCCACCCCTTAGGCCCGGTGAATTGAAAAAGGAGAAAGTCACTCACGGAAGGGATACTCACACCACTGGGGAAGAGACCATCTTTTTATCTGAACTATAAACTCAAAACAGAATCACAACTAAAATGAGACAACAAGGCCACAAGATACCTCTAAAAACTCTTAACTTCCCAAAAGCTGATCCCACTGCAAAGCAAATGGATAAAATTAGAGAAAATAATCAAAACAAAACTGATAATAAAACAACTAATGTGATTAAAAAAACAAGCACCTAAATCAGTTACTAAAATGTTCGATGAATTTCAAAAAGACACAAATAAGCAACTGAGTGAATTAACGAAGACAAGGAAGGGTACGAATGACCACTTCAAGTAAAGTGATAGAGGTTATAAAGATGAATGAAGCAAAAATCCTGGAAATGAAAATTTCAATAAATCAATTAAAAAAAAAAAACTCAATTGAAAATCTCGACAGTAAATGCAATGTATCAGAAGAAAGCCCATCAAGACTTAAAGATAAGGTGGACACACCAAGGCATTCAGTGAATAGTAATGAAAAAAGAACAAGAAATAATCAAAAGGTTATCCAAGAGCTTACACACAACTTTAAAGAATGAGCTTCCTAATCCTCAGCTTCAAGGAAACTGAGAACGCGCAGACTAAAGGAATATGAGATCTTCTTACTTAAATTATTGAAGAAAATTTTCCAAATCTGAGAATGAGTTGACCACCCAGGTAAAGGAGGCATTTAAATTACAAATGAGACAGGACCTCAAAAACCCTTCTCCACAGCTCACTGTAATCAAGATGCCAAAAGCTCCACAGACAGAACATTAGCAGCTGTTAGAGGTCAGCGC